GTTTCTTACTCAGGAACAATGCCGTTCCGGGACACTATATAAATGGACGTTAACGTGATTATAAATTTGCATTTTACATAGTCAAAATACAATAGGTATTGCGCAACCGTGATATGTGAAGTCACCTTGGTTTACTAATAAAAACTACACCGTATGCTTACTCAAACAAAACAAAACTTGCTTACTGTACAGCAATAAATCACGTAAAGAACAAAACAAAATGAAAATGTAGACTAGAAGACTACTGATACCGTAGTCATCCTAGGCTACTACTACATGATGTTTCAGAACAGAAGTATGGGGATAAAAATATTAAATAACTCATAAAACACCATAAAATCATAGTACTGTACTTAAGTCTTTCTGGTAATAATAACAATGATAAAAATAAGATAAAGATAAAAATGACCCCTCTTATTATTTCTCTTTATTCTATTCTTTCTTTGGTTTCTCTACATCCACAAGTTGTCATGGTTACTAATCACCCAACGACCCAACCACAAAATATTGTAGTGTTGTGACAGCAGACAGAAGCAGACGATTGTCAGTATGTCAGTGTCGGTGCAAGATTGTCAGTGTGTAGGTGCGAGCGTATAGGTTGACCTTGACGATACTGATCGATATTTCTCCGTTTTGCTTCCATCTTATTTTTGTTAAATTATCTGTAATATTTCAATAATTGGGAACCTACTGCACATAAAAATTACCGTAAATAGTTAAATATATCGTTCATATTGCCATAATATTAGACTGAAAAACACAGTTAATAAAACATTTTCTTGGGATTTGTGAGGTTATATAATATATAGGCATCATGATGATGCGACTCCAGTTAAGCGAGGTTCTACTGTATTTGCAAGTTAAAGTTACAAATAGAAAACCCATTATGGTTTGTATTCAATGACCGATGTATTATACAAAATAAATTATAACTTATTTTGATATTAATCAGCAGCATTTATTACAGCTTGCAGCACTTATTGGCATACATATATATCCCAGTTACTATCAGTAAAAAAAAAAATAAAACACAAAATTGTGTGGCCATTCAATTTTTATAAACACAGTGTTAAACATTTGACTCTGCAGAATACGGAATGGTAAAGAGTGTTTGGTTTCAAGAAAATAAAATAAAAAATAGTTTAACCTGCTTTACTATTTATTTTGAAAAATAATAGATAGGAAACCATAAGGATAGGTATGGGATTGAACTGAAATAATTGCAGGAAAACTTAAATCGTAAAGTCCACAATCTGTACATTGTTAGAGAGCGAGAGAGAGAGAGAGAGAGAGAGCGAGAGAGAGAGAGAGAGAGAGATTTGATAAGGAATCTGAAAAGTAAACAAATAATCGTTTCTGGCGTTCGTTATATTGTACCCCCTCCCCCCCGTATTTGCACTCGTGACCACTTTTTGTTGCTTCCTTATCATTCATCCGTCCCAAAATATAATTCCTGTAATAGTTTGTTTGTAAAATTGAAATTATTATAAAAATATTTTATCTTTCGAGTGTAGTTTCATGGTTATTCTTATCAGATAGAATAATATCGTTGTCATATGTAATAGTTACTCCTTCGCGTTACGCAATTGCGTAAAAAACAGTTCCAGTATCTCGGACAAGATTCACGTATATTTCTCGAGATAAAGAAAATCCGTATAGTTCCCGGTCCGTGGAAACACTGTAAATACTAGGATAAAAAATATTGTATAAAGGAGAAGTTGACTAAAATTTCAACTGAAGGTAAAAAAAAACAAAATAACTTAAAATATGAGATGATGAACGGGTTGGATCAAGATTCAACCAATTATAATTAATTAATATTCGACGATCCTTATTAGAGGTGCATCATATTTATTTGGAGTATGAACATGTTTAAACATTAACACGTAGTTAATCACTATCCCAACACAAATAGTAACAAGGAGTAAACGAAGGTTACAGACCGCTGGGTTTTACCGCTACAAAGTAGGGTAGGGTGCCGTACTGGCTACACTACTCCACGATAGAACACACGATGAGACAGTCTCCGCATTGGTATTGCAGTTACGCTTATCGTACGTATAAAGTGCACGGGAAGCCATACCTGACTGGCTTATGGGAGAGCTGACTGGCTTTCGGGCGGGTGACTGCCACACCGAGTACATTACCAGCGCACTGACTGCCAAACCGGGTGGGCACAAAAGTATATATATATATATATATATATATATATATATATATATATATATATATATATATATATATATGTGTGTGTGTCCATCTGCACGATAACTTGAGTAATTTTTGTCCGATTTTGATAAAATTTGGTTTGAAGGTGTAAGACGGGATAAACTTGAATGAGTTCGCGAACCAGCATGATCGGACTATGGGAACGGGGGTTTATGGGGGGATTTATGGGGTAAAAATAGGTTTTTCCCATTTTTGACCCTAAAAACACAAAATTTCGCGATTTCTTTTTAAACCATTTTGTAGAGCTTAAAAAAACAAATAATTTAGTATATTGAAGCATTATTATGCGCCTAATTGTTACGGAGAAAATTCAAAAAAATTGTAATTTTAAAATTCCCATGTTATTCTTATGGAGAATAAGTCAACTGTTGTAGTTTGCTTGTTTATGAACATATTTTGATAAAAGTTGGAAAATACATTAATTTCTTACTAAACCACAGTAACTTTTAATATTCTACATAAAAAAAACCTTTTTACTCTCCCTGTTGCAGCAAACCTAAGTACTCATTAAACTAATTCTGTTTAAATAGGGAATAAATGTGATATTTTTAAGGAGACATTTTAGTTTAAATCCAATCAGGCAAATGGAAATTCGCTAAGTCTGCAGGTTTGCTGCGGCGGGGGTATTTAAATTTCAAACAGTCGCCATTTTTGCTAGGGTGGTCCTTTTGAGATGAAACTTGTGGCTCCTTACTCAGAAGAAAATGGCCTTTGAAATGATGTATCATTTACCATAGGCTTCCATTAAAACTTTTTACTGCATCCTCCACAGGACGTTCCCTATAAGTGGTAAAAATTTTCATAAGGTACCAAAAGATAGGTAAAACCATAGTATATCCGTACACAAAATATCAGTTGTTTTTCTTTAACCACTCACCAGATATAATGTTGGTTCCAGACATTTTCAACACCCTGTATATATATATATATATGTGTCCATCCACCACATCACAATGTCGGTGATGAAATGTGTAATGACAGCACGCTGGTCATGTAATATACCTGCTGTATTACATCTCCGCAGCATTTGAAATATGTATAGCATTTCTATTATGCAATTAAAAATGTTTTATTGGTAAATAATGAAGGAATTTATACACACATTTACGAATAAATGCTAGTGCTGCTTAATCAAACGTACCAAATAATTTCTTAGCATTTAAAATATTTCGTAAACTTGAATAACAGATATCATTAGAATGTTGTAGTGGTAATTATATCAGTTAAGAAGATAACTTGAGTAATTTTTGTCCGATTTTGATAAAATTTGGTTTGAAGGTGTAAGGCGGGATAAACTTGAATGAGTTCGCGAACCAGCATGATCGGACTATGGGAACGGGGGTTTATGGGGGGTTTTATGGGGTAAAAATAGGTTTTTCCCATTTTTGACCCTAAAAACACAAAAATTCACAATTTCTTTTTAAACCATTTTGTAGAGCTTAAAAAAACAAATAATTTAGTATATTGAAACGTTATTATGCGCCTAATTGTTACGGAGAAAATTCAAAAAAATTGTAATTTTAAAATTCCCATGTTATTCTTATGGAGAATAAGTCAACTGTTGTAGTTTGCTTGTTTATGAACATATTTTGATCAAATTTGGAAAATACATTAATTTTTTACTAAACCACAGTACCTTTTAATATTTTACATAAAAAAAACTTTTTTACCCTCCCTGTTGCAGCAAACCTAAGTACTTAAACTAATTCTGTTTAAATAGGGAATAAATGTGATATTTTTAAGGAGACATTTTAGTTTAAATCCAATCAGGCAGATGGAAATTCGCTAAGTCTGCAGGTTTGCTGCGGCGGGGGTATTTGAACTTGGTATCGTTTAATAGGGAATTGAAAATGCTAAATAAAAGTAGTGTCCTTGACATTTTTTCATAACATTAGCCATTTTGAGTAATTTAAGTTAACAAAATTTAAATGGCCGCCATTTTGAAATTTTAAGTTGAATCAAGATGAATTTTTTTTCTAACATTGGTCTTTTCTACCTTAACCTACATACCAAGTTTTATAAAGATCGGTTGAAAAATTCAAAAATAAAAATGTTTATGTAAAAAATACAAATGGGGGATATAGGCCTATGGTTAACGAAGCGATTTTGGAAAAAAATTTATTCTTGATTTTCTCTTTATTTTGACCCAAGGAATCACTAGGTAAAATATGTCCCCACCTTTTTTGAACACCCTGTATAAACTACTAACAATTTATTTGAGATAATTACTAGTTAAGCTTTTTACTCAGACATTTTTGAACTATATTGTTGGGTTTTGAATCTGTTGAAAAGCTCATTGGAAAATATGTACCCGTGCCCTGTGGGCGCAGGTCTTTTTTTGCCCGCCCGGGACTGGGTTATAGTCTTCTAAAAAAAAAAAACAACTGCACAACCCCCATTGCTGTCAAAATTACGGTTCCAAAGCTATTGTAAACTCTTTGATTTTCATATAAAATAATGGAAAATTAAATTGAACAGCCCCTGATTTTAATTAAAATTCTTTTAATTACTATATTGTACTATATTGTAGTCCTTATGATTATAAACATGATGGTGTAACTCCCATTGCTGTGAAAAGTACGGCTTAAAAGTGATTGCAGCTTTTGTGATTACCCCATAACATATCATAGTGACTCCCACAGCTTACCCATTAATGATGGGAGAAAGTATGTGACAGATTGCTCACCGTTTTTTTAAAGATGGGATAAGAACTGTAGTTAAAAACTCATAACAATTAATTAAAAATTTTTATACTTGCTAATTTTTTAAAGCTATTACTTCAAGAAAACTATGAGCTGAAAAACAATGTTGAAGTGCTTGCAAGAACTAACAAAGAGCTAGAAAATGAACTCTTAAATCTGAATATGAAATACTGTGGGAAATCTGAATTAGATATGTCAGTAGCTCTTGATATCTCCTCGGCAAAGGTAAGACTTCAATTTAGCCTAGTATTGTAAAATTTATAGATAGCCTTATCAATTTGAATATGATATCAAAATTGGTGCAAAGTTTACCCAACCATAGGCAACCACAAGTGGGGAGCTGCTACAGCCATCGATGTATAATAACTCTACTGGATAGCGCGCTAGGTGGTGGAAAAACGGTCCGTGCCCACCAGTCGAATTGGTGGATACCGAGGCGGACAAGCCGAATGAACCTCTCTGTTTTACACAAACATACATTCACTCAACCTGCTCTGCTACACTTATTTGTTAACATAATAATTTCAAATTGATATATTATTTTTCTGGAAAAACCAGTGCTCATTACTATGTAGTTAGTTTTTACATTAACATATTTTTTATAATTTATTTAGGCAAATTAAAACAGATGATTGTTTTTTAACACCATTAAAAACATGAAATATGTAGTAAGCGAGGAACTTTTTTATTTTTTGGTCAGGAAAAAAATTCCTGCGGCAAAGTTTTAGATCAAAGTATGAATTTTATTTTTTATTTGAAGCTTTTTTTGATACGGAGCCTGCTTGTATCATTTTTAAGCGATTAAAAATAGGCATAAAATCGCTTGGCGCGGCATTGGCGCTAGGAGCTCGGCCGGCTCAGCATCAGTTTACGGGATATAGAAACTGAGTTTCTAGCATTTCATTATCATTATATTACATCAAATATGTCATTACATTACGAAGAATGGTAACTTAATTTACAGGTGTATGTTTATGCATTTTAATGCTAACCGGTAGTCTATAGTTAACAAAATTCTTTGAATCAAAGAATAAATGTTGGTTTTCTTAGTAGTATTTAATACCTAAGAAAATATTTTGTTATTATTTTACGTCAGTGAGAATAATGAATACATTTGAGATATTGGCATTAAATATTATACACTCATTTTATTTAGCAACATAATATTATTTCCGAACACGTTAATCACAGTATGACAAAGAAACATATTATAATATAAACAAAATATATATTCTTAAATGATGCACAGTCTCTCAATAATAATTGGGCCTCACCGAAGCAAATGATGACATGCATATGTGATCAAATAATTATTGTGATATACTTTGCTCTGGTTAATGTTCAATTCAAATATAAATAAATCTTACTCTTTTATATCACCAATACATTTCTTATGATATTTACTTTTGACACATAGTCTATAAAGTGTGAGCAAGTACGTAGATTGATTATATCTGCTTATAAAACCTCATGAAGTTCATTACAATCAATTATCCTCGGAATATTTCCACAAAACTAACATAGCAATACACGGCGAGAGCGGGCGCGACGCTCGCTACTAGGGTGACTCATGCCTTTATCCCCACTCCTCGCGGACAGAGCGAAGTAGCGACGGACCGTTTTTCGAGCCCTACTTCAACCTGAGTGCGCAATCCAGGGAGTTATTATACATCGATGGCTACAGCCTCATGAGAAAAAACTTGAAGAATAAAAACAAGAAATTCCATTACTTTACTTTAATTGTTCTGACACTTTATTTTTGTCATGTAATATCATACTACATAAGATCTTTATAACAATATTTAGTGTCTGTTAAAAAGCTAAATTATGTTGTAATTTAATTTTTTGACATATATTTTGTGTGGTGCTGGATTAGGATATCTCTTTGAGTTTTCATTTAAAATTTATAATACAGAGGCTACTGAATTGTTTTCCATGGAGGGACATCTAATTTTGCAATTACATTAGTTCCTAATTTTATTAATATAGTCTATGTAAAATCAAGAATTTGTTTTTCCAACAAAAGTGATAGTATAATAGATCTATGTAATTTTAGGCTACTTACCAGGAAAATTATGAGCTGAAGAAAAAAGTTGAGCTTCTGGAAAAAGTAAATATGGAATTGGAAGGTGAATTGAATTATCTTACTCAGAATCAAGCCAAAGAAACCACTAGGTTTTTGAATATCAAAGAGGAACTTGATAATGCTAACACAAAGGTTGGTAATTATAATGATTTATTCTGTAACTTTTAATCATAGTTTGTATATCCAGGCATTTCAGAAGAAAATTGTTGATGTGTTGTATATTTTAACGACCACAGTCTACCATATAGGCATACCTCTTGACTAGATCATTCTTATCATAATTATTGTTTTAAAAAGGATTAACTAGTAGTCTAATAACCTTTGTGTAGTTTAAGCCCAGTGTAAAGTTGAAAGTATAATATTACTCTTTCTATGAAGCAGTTTTACACTTTCTTTTGAAGCAATTTTACTGAAATTGAAAAAAGTCTTAAAAAACAAATATTTGAGTCGCTCATTTCCAAATCGTCCTTTATCCAATTTTTTTTTCGAAATTGAGTTACTGTTACCATGACAATCTATATCTATAAACGACAGATTTTGTCATATCGCTAAGAAGTAAATAATTTTATCCAAGCCACCTCTATTTATAATACTGTATTATAAATTAATGAAAACTATATTACAACTTACTCTTTCAACGTAATAAATATAAGCACTTGTAACTTGCATAACTGTTTATTCATAACTGGAAAGTAAATATTATTGTATGAACAATGTAAATAAATAATTAACATATGGATTAATATAACAAGTACAGAAGCAAAATATATAACAGTGGTCTCCCCCTAACAATGGTCTCCCCCTAAACTTTCGTACGCAACATTTGATCAATGTGGCGTCTCCAAATTTGTCCATTGTCCATCTTGATAAATTAGTGAAGGTGACCGTCTCTACTTTGGACATTTCCATAACGCCATTTACATTTTCTGGTATAGTTCCGTACTTGTACTCGTTCACCTGGTTTGAAGTATCTCACTATTCCTTTGGGTTCTTTTGTTTCTTCCTTTCTCTTAAGTAAGAGTAAACTTAAGTATGTGCGGATCCTTCTATTGAACATCAAGAAGTATATAAGCTGTTGCCAGTTGAATTCGGAGCTTGACGTATTTTCATCAGCAGTTGGTGAAGCTTTTCTTCCAGTGTACCAGGCTCGTCTGACATGCAGTTGATTAGTTTCTTAATCGTTTGTACTAAGCGTTCGACTTGGCCGTTCGAAGAAGGATGGTAAGGAGCTGTCATTTTGTGTAAAGTTCCACATTTCTTCAAAAAGTTATTAAATTCAGAAGAGGTGAACTGACGACCATTATCAGAGACTATAACACCTGTTAGTCCAAAGGTGGTGAATATTTCACGCAGCTCTCTGATTGTCCATGAAGATGTAATACTCTTCGTAGGTACGACTTCAACCCACTTGCTGAATGCGTCTACTACCAACAAAAAGTAGTTTCCGTTGGTTGGCCCAGCAAAATCTATGTGGACCCTCTCCCATGGTTCACTTGCTGGCTCCAAGGGATGGTCAATTTCTTTCTTCGGTAAATTTTGTTTTTCCCTGCACTGTCTGCATTTTGAAATATTATCTTCTATATCTTTGTCCAAACCTTTCCAGGAGCAAAAGCTTCATGCTAAGGCTTTGAAATGAAATGAAATGAAAATGTGCTTTATTGTACAATTTAGAACATAAATACATTTTTACACAGACACATAAAAACAATGGTTAATAACCGTCTGTTTTGTTGGCACTAGAGTTGTTCCATTACTTAAGATTAGAATAGTAGGCCTATTGAGCACTAAAAAGATTTATTAATATTTCTGAAATAAAGACATAAGAGAAAAGATATAAGAGAGAACGAAATATTACTACAAATACTATTACTATAACTATTATAACTACTATAACTATTTGAATGTTGTAACATCGTCTGCAACATGGCCCCAAGTAAAGACAAGTTGCTTTGTGGTCAATGCAATGTTAAAGTTAAAAATTACTGTTTTGGTCTACGATGTGATGGATTTTGTGGTAAATTGTTTCATATAAACTGTGTGAATGTTTCCTGTGAAGACTATGAAAAAATTTCGGAACTTCAACAAATTGTAAGGTGGTTTTGTAAACCCTGTGATGATAGGGTTAGAATCAACATGAAAACTCACCCTTTAATGGAAGACGTGTGTAGTCTAAACAAAAATATGGACAGATTAATGGGAATCGTCAATGAATTGAAGAATGAAAATAAAGCATTGACTGATCGAATAAATTCAGTTACCGTGGAACAAGAAAAGTTTGGTAGCATTATGGAACAGTTGCAACCTAACCTCACTGAGTGCTTAGGTCTAGGAACTGGCAATGTTTACTCTACTACTGTATCTAAGCCTAAGCCAAGTAAAAAGGTTGTTGATGCTGTCAATTCGGATACTGAAACGATTGTTAGATCTGACTCGACCCTTAATGATGTTTGTCAAGTTAAGGCTAATACCAGTAACTTAAACTCTCATAGTACTATGACTCATGCTGCACCCAACTCAAATACTCATAGGCCTAGGCCTAACCCAGACAACGAGAACATTGAACACTCCGCATTGGGATATGCAGATGTTGTAAAGCGAAATAGGACAGCTGGTAAACCTAAGCCTTTACTTCTTGACAATCGTGCAAGGCCTAAACGACAAGACAATGTTATCATTGGTACCAAGGACTCCAGTGCTGCTTCTAGCCTTAAAGTGGTTACAAAAAAGTCTTGGATTTTCATCTCTAGATTATCACCTGATACAACCTGCCAATCAATGAAAGACTATCTTAAGGAGAATGGTGTTTCAAATGTGGAATGTGACAAACTGAAAACCCGGTACACATCTTACCGCTCGTTTAAAATAGGCCTATCCAGTGTAGATCAGCAGAAAGTGCTCTCAAGTGAATTTTGGCCTGAAGGAGTACTAATTGCTGACTTTGTACATCGTAAAAATAAACACTATGGACAGTCTAAAAGTGAAAGTCTTGAAGAGTCTGTTTTTTTAGGGTTTCCGAGCCCAGCAAAGTGAGTAACCTAGTCAACTGTACCAGTATTATTAGTTCTGAAACTGTTTTATCTTTAATTTTTTTGAATATTCAGTCCATAAGGGACAAAACCCTGGAATTAGATGTAGTCTTAAGCGATATTAAAAATGATATCCTATGCATATCCGAACATTGGCTTAACACTGAAGAGATAGGCTTTTATAGACTAAAAGATTATCATTTGGCCACATACTATGCCCGGGACGATATGGTGCATGGTGGATCAGCTATCTATGTACAAAATGGACTAAAATATAAGGTTATGGATGTTGCTCGTTTTTGCTCAACTCAACATTTGGAAGTTGCTGCCATCAAACTCGAATGCAATATCATTGTAGTCAGTGTGTATCGATCACCTAATGGCGATGTAAATATTTTCCTCAATCAGTTTGAAAGGTTATTATGTCTCCTAAGTCTTAAATCGTCTTCCCTTATCATCGGAGGGGACTACAATGTAGATTTGGTGGCTGATTTTACCAAACCGATCCAGCGTGAACTTGCAAGACTTATGAGGCAGTTCAACTTACATCCAACCAACTCTACGCCTACAAGAGGTAATGCAGTTCTCGACAATATTTTGACTGATCTCAATTATACCAGTTATATTACTACAGTTATGGATTATGGCCTTTCTGACCATGCTGCAGTTAACTTAGACATACACCTAGCCTATTCCGAGAAAACTTATCTTGAACAGTCCAACTCCCTTGTATACCATAGGCCCATAACAGAAGCCCGAATAAATAACTTCTTCCAGTTTTTAAGCAGTGTTGACTGGTCTGTACTAGCCTTAGGTACAAACTCTGAAGAAATTTTTAATTTATTTTTTGACCAAATATTGCTTGGTTTCCATGAGTCCTTTCCGCTGCAGAAGAAGCGGGGCCCAAATTGCAACTCCGGTGGACAGTTCTCTGGTGGTAAAGCCTGGTACAATGAAGACCTGAAGAAGAGTAGAAGTATCCTCATGGCTCTCCTTGATCGCCACAATGTTCTTAAAACCTCAGCATCCCTTCAAGCTCTAACTGAATATAGAAAGATATACAAACAAGAACTGAGGACTGCCAAAAAACAGTTTGTTGCCGACTGTATTGAAAAATCCGACAACAAGTGTAGAGCAGCTTGGCAGGCCATTCGGAAAGAATCTTCGAGCAAACATCAACCCAATACTTCTGTGGATCCATACGACTTCAACGACTTCTTCATTGACTCGGTGTTGGAGGTGGCGGAGAAATCTGGTGGCGTTCCTTCGGCTGCAGTGGATCTTCTCAAAACCAAGAGCATTGCAGCACCCGGTTTGGAATGGAAGTTAGTGTCATGTGAGGAGGTAGCGCGGCATGTGCGGCTTCTAAAAAGTTCTAAAAGTCGTGATATTTATGGCCTGTCTAGTGATGTGCTAAAGGCTATTTTACCTGTGATTGTAGAGCCTTTAACCTATTGTATAAATAGTTGTCTTATTGAAGGTGTATTTCCTGCAAAGCTTAAGTTATCTAAGGTTGTTCCTGTTTTTAAGAAAGGGTGCAGAGATCTCCCAGCTAGTTATAGGCCAATAGCTTTAATTCCAGTCTTTGCCAAAGTTTTTGAACGAATTTTACATGACCAGCTGTACAATTATTTTGAAGCTAATTCCTTGTTTTCAACTATACAGTATGGTTTCAGAACTGGGAAATCTACAATTCAAGCTGTGACCTATCTTGTAGATGCAATCCTAGCAAACCTTGAAAGCAGAGCCGATACTGGTGTCACCTTATGTGACCTCAGTAAAGCCTTTGATTGTGTTTGTCATGAGACATTGCTGGCTAAGTTAAAGTACTACAAGGTGACTGATACAACTCTGTCACTTCTTAGCTCATACCTAGATAATAGAGAACAAATAGTCTGTGTCAATAATCAGTATTCATGTAAGAGACTTGTACCCTTTGGCGTGCCGCAAGGTTCGGTTCTTGGACCTCTTTTATTCCTTGTCATGGTTAATGACATTGATGTTAATGTACCATTTGAGACTGTATGTTTTGCTGATGACACTACTTTGTTTAATGCTGGTTCTGATATAAAAACTGTCAATTTGAATTCTGAAAGTGCCCTTAAA